TAAACTTAAAATATAGTGGTCCTGCAAACTATTATAGTATTTAAGATAAGTTATACTAATTAATTTTTTTACTATAGATAACTTCATTAGGAGAAAGTTGGGATGAAGAACTACGTCGAAAGTTATATGAGTGCTTGTATCTTAGTTATGATTTTGCATTTGAAAATAAAAATTTAAATGTACGGGTTCCAAGAGAAATTTCAAATTTTATTAAAACCATAATTATATCGTTTGTTGCTGAAGATGTTAACACAAGTATGTATTCTTGTATCTTACTTATAGTTTAATAGGTTTAAGGACAGTTTAGCCCTTCTAAGCAAAAGTGTCTTAACTCGAAAAAAAAATTTAAATATGAATTAGATATGGCATCTGATAGATTCATCAGTCTTACACAATATTTGTAGAAAAAATCCCATGAAATAAATAAATAAGCTATATTATATTCAATTATTTTTCTTTGATAACTCTGTAGGTAACAAAAGAAATTATAAGTACTTAGCACGAACTAAATTTCAAGTACCGGGTTATTAATTTTTAAATAACAACAAATTAAGAAAATCGTTGGATGACCACGTGTTAATTCAGGGTGAATATCCCATGTTTAACTTCCAACACTTGTAAAAAATGAATCGTACCTTCCAGCAAACTTTTATAATAATTGTTAAATGTAATAAAATTTATGTGTACTCTTATATTAAATGTTCAAAACTTAGATATAAATAGAACATATTTTATGAATCTCTACTCGAAAAAAAATTTGTCAACTTTTTACTTTTGATTTCAGCTCTTAAAAAGAATTTACGCTAACTTTTTTTTTAATTCCACTAACTTCAACTTATGAGGAAATTTGTATAACATTTTCAAATTTTTTAATTATGCATAACAAATTTTAACGACAATAATTTAAAAAATAATAGTAAACGTGAACCTTTCTTATAGCTTAAAATATAAATATAAACAGTTCAAAAAGGTTTGCAATATTCTGAAGATTATATGGTGCATAGAAATTACTAGTATAAACATTTAGAGAAAATTCACATGTATCTACTTCCTAAGGTACACGTCTTAAAAACAAAAGCTATTATTTTCTAATACAAGTATTATGTAAAAATCTCAGTTTTTCCTTAATTTGTTGTNTAGATTTTCTTTCCTATTAGTAAAGATGCTGTTGAAGAAAATTTTAGCATTTCTACTGTCCCAAAAAGTGATGATAGACACTAAAAAAAAAAAAATGGCACATGATTGTAAAATCAATACATTCATTGCTCTGCTTAGAATCTAAAACATATTTTGGTACCTAATTGATTTAAACTAACCTTATTTTAAGAAAGTTGTTTAGTTTGTTTTTTGTTGTACTGGTTATAGAACTTAAAAAATCAAAGAAAATTGTGCCGTTTTTGTAAACAGATTGTTTGTTGGTCATTATAAGCAATGTTATGTTTCTAAGAAATTGTAAAATTTGGTCTTGGGGGTGCTGTTAAATTGTGTTCTACTCCATTTTACCGCCACTGCAGCAATTTGTGCTGACCTGTTTAGCCTATTTGTTATGTAAAGTTATTAATATATTTACTTTTTTTTAAATCTAGTACAATTGCAAATGAAGAAAACATTTTTTGTTCCGGATTATTTATCAGAATGTTATCCAATCTTCAAACAAAAGTTTTCGTCGGATTTTAGCTCCATTTCAGTTTCTACTATCAAACTAATGATACTTCAACTAAGAAAGTGGATCAAGTACATAGAAGACAAATCCAACTACCCGGCAAGATTTGTTCATCATTTCCGATGTCCATCAATCCACCAATTCGATTGGTCGGTAATAAGGATACCCAGTGACTATTATATTGACGTAATGATTAAAAAATTAATTAATTATATTATGATTAAATGGCATAAATACTAATCAACTGTTCTTTTAATCAATAATTATGATATTGCAATACTTTTTGTTACTTCCGATGTATTAGGATTCTTCTGAGGCTGTCAGAATACATAATTTCAATGGTTATGTACATCTTATTGATAAAAATGGCACTGTTGTTAAACAGTTGTCTATTCGTGGAACTGATGGTCATTTATACTCCTATAATGTTTCAAGAGGCGAGGCAATTGAATCCGAAGATAGAATTTTTCAATTATTCCGAGTAGCAAATAGTTATTTGCTTGATTTTAAAGTAAAGTAGTTTTTATAGTTAAGATGGCATATTTCGCATTTAACTAATAATTAATAATTTTAATGTAGGAAACTGCTAAGAGACATTTGAAGTTTTCTGTACCAAATACATTTACAATCGCTCCTAATTTAAGAATGGTTGAAACTAAAAATAACTCAATATTTTCACTCTTAGAAATATATACAGAAATGAATAAAAAGCCCAATAAGCCCAGAATGTCTTGGATTCATGAAGATATTGATTTTTGGTTTTCAGTATTGAGTACTTGTATTATTGTAAGTCAAATTAATCACATGTATTTTTCGATTTTAACAGATTAAAAATGTCTGTTTTATGTGTTTTATAGACTGAGAGGACTCAGCCTTTAATGGAATGCTTACTTGCAGTAGGCAACAAATATGGCTCAGATGAAGTGTTGAAGGATTGGGTTTCATCAATGTATCCATTGCAATCGGATTATTGGACATTTCGCAAAACTGTAAGTCATATGCTTAGAATAAAATTTCATTTTACTATTTTATTCAGAAACTATACATACAATTATTTAAAAAATATAATTGTAATACTTAATTTAACAAACATTATTTTCAGTTTGTTGAAAATTACTCACTACTTTGTTTCTTTGAGTATGCATTTAACTTTATTAAATTGAAGCCCGAAATGTTGAGTATTGACAAAAATAATGGAGTGCCTGTTGCTTTATTCTATACATTTAATTTGAGTGAAGTTCATGGTCAGTATTTCTGTCAATTCAATACTTATATATTTGTACGTTTGCGGCTTGTGCATTTAAAAACAATATTTATATCTTTGCAGGAAACTTAGTTCAAAATCACATAATACCTTTTCGTTTAACACCTAATTTGACTAAGTTTATTACACCTTATCGTAAACATCAAATGATAAATTGCTTAACTGTAACTGGCCATTGTTTAACCAACAGTATTGACGATATAAGTGTTGAACTAAAATTATTATTGAAGGATGAATTTATGGCTAATTATAATATGGTAAGTAATTCAATGACATTTATACTTAAGAGTATGTTCTATAATATATTATTAAGTACCTAGTAGGTACCAATTCAACACTAATACTTATTTCCAATATTATTTTAATACTATTAGTATTTTATTTTGATAACATACAATATTATATTGGTATAATAATTGTTGAATATTATTATATACATATATGTAAACAAACTGTTTAATTATTTTCAGTGGGATGTTATGTTACCACTAAATAATATTAAAATTAATGAAAATGTAGTTTTGAACACATTGTTATGCGACATATGAATGAAACCAAAACTGTCACATTAATTAATTTGAATTTCTATTTAACTAGATTTTAATTTTTAACTGTTTATCTGCAGTAAATAAATTTATCCATTATTTTAAACATCAGGCAATACTATTTTATATTGTGTGTTAAATATGCTAAAAATTGAATTGCAGAATTTTATTCCTATACTATTGTGATTTATTTTAGAATACCTACAAGAAAATAACAGGGAATGAAATAGACATTTTTGAAGTAGTTGATAAGAACTTAAAGTATATATTGAAAAATTTCAATAAACTAAAAAATTCTTCAATTCACAATCCGGTAATATACTAGAATTATATTACTAATCACATAAATTGTTGTTATTTTATTACAATTATTTCAATTATATTTTCAGATTCCTGATCTCCTATTCCAAGCTGGCCATAAAGAACTATTATGTTACGAAAGTCCAACATGGCGTGCCTGGTTGTAATGAATTTACCATAATATTTGTTTGTTTTAATAATGATAACTTTTGTGTTGCCTTTTCATTATTATTATTATTATATAAGACTGGTCATTGTAAACTATTTATATGATTGTCACTAATATAAAATACTTTTTTAATATTTTATAACATACTCAATTTTTTAACAAACATTTATACATTTATTAAATATAATCTCATTTATAATAGCTGATATATGAATCTTTACTATTAAAATAAATTTTAAAGTTCAAGTATTATATTGTTAAAATCAAATGTATTATTATAATCATTTATGCATATTCATTGATAATAGAAAAATTATAGATCCATTTTTTTATTATAGTAATATAACAACAATCATTGTAATAATTATATTTGCTAAATATTGATTTGTATTAATAACTAAATAATCAGTGTCAAATTACGTCTAAAAACTTACGTATTTATTTTTTAAATATTGTATGATCTCCATATTTTTTTGCTATTTCTGAAATCAGTTAAGCAAAGTAAGCAATTAAATCATTTATAAAAGTTAGGTTCGTAAACTATATTTCTGAGCATTGAAGTCTTAAAAATTAAAAAAGTTTTATTAGAATTGACGCATGTAGAAATATATAATTAATACATCAGTTACTATTATTAAATATTAATAGTTGATTAATGATATTAAACAGATTTCGTTCTTTTTATATGAAACAAGGTTATTTTTGTGCTGTGTAAAAGAAGATGAAATTAAATTATTTGTCTCTTAAACATTCATAGTAGACAATCATTATTAATGTAAATTTAATGATTTATTAAAATTGGTTGTAGGATACATTTTTAAGAAAATATCACTGTTTTTATATTTATATTTATTGTTTTATTTTAATAAATAAAATTAGTAATACACTTTAAAATAAATTATAATAAAATATCTGTAATAACAAAAATAAATAATAAACAATTTAAAGTTATAACATAAGTATTTTGAAATCATAAACAACAAGTATATTTAAATTTTAATACACATTATTAAATAATAGTCATATTGCTTAAATATTTCGTTTTAATGGTTCTTAAAACTATCCTTTGGTATTTGTGTCAAGTTCATCATTTGAGGTTACTTTCCTTTGTACAAATTCTTCTTTAGTAGAATGCAATATTTTTGAATTATCAGTTGAAATTGCGATTTCGGTCAATTTTCTATAAGTAGAGTGATCTAACATATTGTGCTGTGACATGTACCTGAAAATTCAAAACACTGCATTAAAGTGAATACCTTTTCATCAGCTTGTACTTAAGTTTTTTTAAGCTCCTAGGGCTGCCAAGATGCAAATGTTTTAAGAGGATGGCATACCTACATGGCTGCAAGTTATTTTTCCATCTCACAAATGTACAGCATAACAAATTTGCATTTAAAAACCAATTTATGTTGTTACTTTTGAATTGTATAATAAATTAACTTAATATTAAACTTAAAGGTGTGCACTATGTGTGTTTGTACTTACATTAGTAAGAACACTTGAATATTTAAGTGAGTTGAAAGTATATTTTAATTGCATTATTTAATATTTTACATAAATATACTAACAACTCGTTAAAAAATTGAAATATTGAATAAAACAGACGTATAAACATAGATCATGATTAATGGTAACCTTTAAGTTTTATGATGGGTAATTTACTGTGATATTAAAGCTATCAACACAAAATTGGTTCTGCTGAAAGCAATATATATGCTATGCTGGGTATTTGTAAGACAAGAACAACACATATGGATGTGATGTGCTTACCAACTTTTATACTTGCCTCATGGACGGGATGACTTGTTTCTTGGAAAGCAAGACTTCAACAATCTCTTCATGTGCCGTATTCAATCTATGCAACATATCAAGAGCCATTTGATGAGCTGGTGAATAAAGTGATTCCAAAGATAATAATAAACAAGCCTGAAATAACACAGCAATTCTAAAATTAATGCACAATATGCTCTAAAACGGTACTCAAATGTCAATGATTTAAATTTCATTCACAAACTACATATTTATAATCACCAATGGCTTAGAGTCAATAACAATGTGGTATTGCACCATCTGATGAAGCTGATAATACATTTTATTAATTACTAAACAGTTTATGAGTAGTTCATAAAGGAAGTGTTCAATAGTTATTTTGTTATCTGTTAGCGATCGTATGTATTCAACTAATATTGAAACTGTAAACTTTTTATCATCTACAACCACAACAATAATCATATATCTTAATGTTTTATAAATAAAACCAAAATAATATTATTTTTTACATAAATATTAAAAAAAAAATGTCATTAACTTAAACATATTTAAATAAGACAGATTTTAAAATGATTGCGCACCTTTAGTATTTTCTAATTTATCTACTAATTTTACAAAAACATGTTTGTAAACATCCAACTGTTCTATAACAACTTTACATTGCAATGATTCAGCAACAATCATATAGTCATTAGGTAATGGACTGGTGTTCATAATATGATTGTTGAGGTGCTTCTTGTAGACAATATTCAAATGATCAAAAACATTACCTATTTCAATCAAATTACTTCTCTTTTGTAAAATCATATGTTGTAACACCTAAATTAAAAAAATTATAAATATATAATGCATAATATAATATGTATAATACTAAAATAATATGTTAGATGTATTTATAGTGCAATTTATGTATCCAAACATAAAAATTGCAATTTATATAACTTAAACAATTGTTTATTTTAAGCGTAAAATAATTGGACATTATGTATAAATAACATAATATATTATATTATATTATGTTTCAAACATATATGCTACAATTATTTGGTTCTTAAATTATTAATTTTAGAATACGAGGTATATAAATAAATTAATACTTATTTAATGGCTGTGAATTATTATAACCTAAAATGTATTAGTTGATGCTTTAAATATACAAACACTTTTTCTTAAAATAATAAAAAAAACCTCAACCACTAAGGACTTGACATATCTTTTACACTTTCATAACGGGTCTCCAAGCTAAGACCTGCCAAGCTGATTGATGTCTTGAAAATAATATATTTGTGTTTATTTATAAAGTATTAATAACTAAAAATAATTCTTATATATCTTTCTTCTATTTTATCACCTCTCTCAAACAATTTTTGTTTGTGAAGCTTAAACGTATCACAGATTTGGCCACTGTTATAAAAAATGGTTGGAGAACCCCGATCCAGGTAATTAAAAGTAACTCATATTTATACACTATTCTTCAGTCTTCTTTAAATATTCAATGTTAAGTTAGTAATTTTTATTTTGTATTTTGCAGAAGCTAACCAAATGTTTACAGTTATCAAAAAATCAAAAACTACAGTTTAAATTTAATAAAATGTCAGTTCCTGGATACATTTTTTAATATGGACATATATTCCATTAAAATATTTAAAAACGTACTCAATTTATACATTTAAATATATTTAACCATAAGGATAAATAATAATACCTCCAAAGTGACATCTTTTGATTTTGGGCGTAAAAGAAGAAAATCAATAAGCGAACATTTATCCATTATTATTTTGGATACAGCTGCTAAGTTTAGTTTGAAATGCCTGCAAATAAAATTTAAATGTCAGATAATTCATCTTAACTAAACGCATAAATAATGAAAAAATTTTTTGTATGATCTATAATATCTATAATATAATTCATGTTTATATATAAGTTTAATTCAATTAATATTTTATTTGAAAAACTGCAGTTTTTAAGCCATTTCCTCAAAAGTGATATGTGCTGATTTATGCTGGCATAATTTCAAGGATAGTTGATCCATGATCAAATATAGGGCTAGGTTAAAAGGCTTAGGTTTGGAAGGTAAATTTAAGTTTTTTGTGTAATAACATAGGCTGCATCCAGATGTGACTGAATTAAGCTAGTCTGGACTAATAAGGTTCAACTTAACTAAATTGTATGAATTTTTAGTGTATATATTTTATATATTTTTCAAATTTTAAGTGTAAAATCAGTTAATACAGAATATTGTCTCAAGATATTTTGTTAAGTTTAATTTAACGTTCAAAATTAGCAAGTACGAAATAGTAGAGTTAAACATATCTATGCTTATGAATGCTTAGAACAAATAGTACCGCCCCGAGATATTGCTCCCTTATAATAACCCTACTGTCACCGATGAGTCATTTCAATTTTTTTTATGTAATTAATAAACTTCATTAAATGTTGAACTGAATTTTAAAATTGTAACAACCTGAGATACAAATTGAATCTTAAAAGATTACTTGTTCCAAATAGATATAATAGTTTTAGTAGGCATTTGAATTACACAGATTATTTCTTAAATATTTTTTAACATTATTCAAACCTTTGCATTACTTAAAACTTATAAGTTATTATATAGTTTTATTGATGACCAATATTCTTGAAGCAAAAATTATAGATTGTAAATTGAGTCATTAGTCCTCAATTGGATATGATATCAGGGGACAATAACTTACCATTTATATTGAAAAGAAGGAAATTCCCAATACAAATATCTCATATGATGATTAATAAAGCACAAAAAGATACTTTATATAAAGTTGATATATATGTATCACGGTTATCTACTCGAGTAGGTTTAGCCAATTATTTGTGACCTATTATGGCTGTATCAACATTGGTAGTTAAGGTACTAATTACAAATTTTGTCATATATCGAAACATAATATACAAAAAAATTTTAAATAAATAATACAAGTTCAACATTTTTAACTTACAATTATAATTATTATTATAATTAGTTATTATTTTTATTAATTTATATCTGATATAATAAGTATGATCATTTCACCGTTCAATAAAATTATATATAAAACAGTGCTTTACTAGTTTAACTTGCTTAAAGGATTGTTGCAGTATTCAAATTATTAGTATGTTTGTGATGTGTTTATTCGCATTAAGTAGAGCTGGGATTTCGATAGATTTAAATTTTTTTCAAAGGTAGTATGGTTGTATTTGTCACATTACATGTACTTTTAAATGAGAACAAGAAAATTTATTTTGCATTTTTTTCGCCATTTTTAGTTTTTAAGTTGTTTTTTAAAAAATTTAAGGGCATTTTAAAGTTTTTGGATGCAAAATATGAATTTTAAGACTTTTACACACCAGCATGATTTTTTAAACCTATACATTGTTTTTACAACAGTTCGGACATTATTTTTTACAACTGACAGAGTAAAATTATTTTGTAAAATATGCAAGATGAAAACGATTTACCGTTTACACTACAAGAAATAAAAAAATATAATTTTTTTTTCAGATTTAAAGAAGTCTAAATTTATGAAAACCAGCTATCTGCAAAACTTTTTTTTAAATTTATATAAAAATACTTCTTGTACTATTGCTAATACCTTATACATAAAATATTATTGAAAAAACCAAAATATACTTGTAATTTATATTTTTTTAAATTTTTTAATCTCTTAGAAATAATTTTAGTTACTTGATTTTTTAAGTTTTTCAAGTCATTTTTGCATTTTTTTAAGGGTAATTTTTCAAGTTACTTAGGGCTTTAAAATCTAAGCCTTAGTACTTTTGGGCCAAATTCTTTGACCAGGTCAATTCAATATTTACTATTTACTACCTTCTTAAAGTAATTTTGATAGTATTAAATTATTTGATTTAAAAACCAAAACCAACAAAATGAAAGTACCAAACAAACTAAAAAAAATAAAATAAAATACATACCACAGATAACCTAATTTAGCATCTATTATTATGTTGGGTTGAAATGAAATGCAAATACTTGAGTCTGTGATCAAAATATTAAAGAACTTTAGGATCGTTTTATTTCTTACAATAATATATAATTAATATAACAATTTCATATAATATCGCAGAACTATTCAAAAATATTTTAAATTTTTATTTGAATGTCCAAGAACAGTTTAAAAAATAGTTTACTAAGTTAAGATGCAGAATCCTTTATATTTGTACAAAAATGAAAATATCATAATTGGAAATAAAAATTACTTTTTTAATATAAGTACAGAATATATTTTGAAATAGAATGTTGAAATTAATATAAAATATTATAATAATTACCTATAGCACCTAAATATGTCATTTTTTCAATTTAGAAGAATGTAATAGAAAAAAATACAGCATATAACAAAGTTTTAAATATTCATTAGATGGAATTTATAAAATATAATACCTTATAACTAAGAGTAGAGACTTGTATATAAGTATATTGATATTAAAAAACCTAAAAATATGTATGCATTTATTCTCTAAAATTTTTTAAATAGGTCCTAAAATTATGCATAAAAAAAACTGAATCATTTAAATAAACATAGAATCTGCATTAAAAAAAATTGATTAGAATATAATGATTTAAAAGTATAGAAGTAAAAAATTAATTTAATAATACATTTGTATGAATAAACACTACCAACCATTAAAAGTATACCATACAGGACATACAATTAAAGTTTATGTGTTAAATTATTGCAGTATATATATATATAAAAAACATTTGGTTATGATCAAAATGCATTGATTAAAATATTTGTGCAAAGATTAGATTAAAGTTTACATCATGCGTAAATGCTTATGTAATTATACAATCACAGTACTAATTATCTCAACTATAAAATTGTTTCATAATTGAATGAATTATTTCTAACATAATGTATTATTTGAAACAATTTGATGTAAATTACAGAATGTAAGTAAAATATGCACTAAATATGAAAACATGTTAATAACAAAATATACTCAAACTTATAAAAAAAAGTGAAACATGCCTAGTATAAAATAAAAATGCTGAACACATAGTGCTAATATTTTGCACATAGTATTATGAAATAAAATTCTTTACCTTAATGCTATGTATAAAATGATTATTAAAAAACATTCAAACAACTATGCATTTTTAGCCTCTACTTATATCCAAATTTCAACATTCAGCTTCAAATATTTATGTATCATCAATTTTTAATAATTATTTTGTATTCTTAGATGACAAGAAAACAAAATGAGCAATTATAAAATAATATTTTTTTAATTATAAATTGGACAAGATATAGAAACTCAAATATTTATTTTGCCTTACAATTTGAAGATTCAAGTGAATATTATTAAATTTCAAATTGATTTATACTTAAATTATAAAAAGGATACATAGATGAGAAACATAATGTGATCCTCCTTCTCTTGGAACCGTTCTTTTGATTGATAGATCATCTAAGATAGGTAAATAATGTGATATTGTATGTTCTTTTGCAGCTTCCATGTATATGTCGAATACAGAAGAGGACTAAACAATAAAAATTATATGTTATAGGAATATAGGATAATATACTATATTCAGAAACTCCACAAGTTAAAAGAAAAATAACCTTTGTATGTTGATAATGAACGACAATCAAATTATCAACTACATTAATCAACAATTTACCATTGTGTGTCAATCGTAGAATATGTGATTTTTTAAATGTCATCATTCTGCAAAAAAAAAAATATATATTTTTTTTTATAAAACATTAATGCAATTTCTATACAAATAATTAAATCATATACTTGTTTAATGAATAAACTATTATTTCATTGCGACTTTGACTTGTTGGTAAAACTAATATCCTAAGTATGTTGTACACAGTTGTCATTACAATATTTCGTTCACTAATTGATTGATTTGGTATATTAAGAGAAATATCAAAATCAACTATAAAAAAATAAAATAAAACTATTATCATTACTATTAACTAAATGATTTGGGTAATACCTTCTAATTTTGTCAATTTGTTTATATTTCCAGGTAAAATATGAAGGGGTTGGAAATCTCCAAAAGAATTCATGGACAGTAGTAATATTTTTGAGTGATTTGAGTAAATAAACCAATTTACATGCAAATTAATAGATTTTGAAAAAACTATACGTTGCTTAGGTACTTGGCCTTCAATCTAAATAAAAAAAATTTTTATATAAGCATGATTTAAATAAGTTGAAAGAGCTAGCGGTTTTATTTTACCTGGTATAATTCTACACCTTTATCACTAATTAATACTATTTCATTGTTACCAGTCCAAATAAAGCCCAACAATTTGGCACCTTTGAATTTACAATATAAAAAATAAGGACTTTGTAATGTATTTTCTTTAATATCCATTAATTCCTAGAAATTATAACTGATATGTAATAAATGACATAAGTATTAAAATTATCAACATATATACATCTAATAATAATTTAGATTGACATATTTAATAATTCAATATTCAATTATTGATACAATCATTTATACATTATTTCAATCTTATAAGACTAAATATCAATTTTATATAATAAAGAAACAAAGCTTATTTTATTAATAACTTAGAAAGTTGATTGATTTGAATTATGAAACAATTTATATTTAATTTATTTTCAATAATACTGAAGAATAAATTTTTTTTTATCATAAACTTAGAAAACATCTAATTCTTTTGGCTGAGTATTTAACTAAGCATTAAAAAAAAATAACCCTTTTAAGTACTAACATATTAAATTAACTTTAAATTTGTTTTTGTGGAGGAAAATATATAATATTAAATAAATTATTTTTTATTTGCATATTTAATATATTAGATGTATAAATATAAGATATCAAATATTAATGCATTATAACATAATGCAGCAAATAGTAAAAGTCAAATATTTTCATTATGGTTTAATAACTATAACCATTAAATATATATAATATATACTTAACACTTTCTATCTTTTATCCTACTATTCAAAGTCTATTACAATGTCACCATATGTTATGATTAAATGTGCACAAAAACTTACCACGGATAATGATGTTCTCATCATTGTTAATATTTTACAGTCCAGGGACATTTTTATTGAAGATACTGGTCCCCGGTCTTCAATTTTAAACACCATATTTTCTCTATAGCGAGTACTTGATGTTATAATTATTTCAGTCAGCTCACCAGAATGAACGGTTATTATCTAAAAGAAATCATACTGATTATATAATTAGTAATTACTAAGAAATAATAACAAATTTATATTTACAGTTTTATAACTATTACATGAAAAACATTTAGTAAATATGATAAATTTAAGAGCAATATTATATCATAATTAAAATCTTGTTTTATCAAATGCATATTGTGTATTGCAAATGTCTTGTTTACCTGTCCAGTTATCTCATCGTAAAACACATTTGTTGTTTTGCTTACACTTGCAGGAACAAACTGAATTGGATCATCATTCAGTTGAAGACAGTTATCATCATCCATAATTAAAATGAAAACAGCTGACCGAATAGTTGTATTAACTATTTAAATATTAAATCTGAAAACATTAACCGATTGGTTATAAAGGAAATAGTTATAATTTTACAGTACCTATTTTTCTGAATGGCCAAATGATTAACAAATTGTTGAGCCTTCCTCTCCTCACTTAACTATTTCAATGATGGTAAGATAAAATAAGTCTTAGAGTAGTTCGTTCACATATTATTGAATATTGATACAATATTCGAACACTGGTGTTATGACTGTAAAACCTAGGACACGTTTATACTACACAAAATAAGGAACTCATCATCAAATTAATTTGGTTGGCAAATTGATACAGATATGTAAATGTTGAATATTTCAATATGTTACCTACCTAAATATTTAGTTATTTTTAAATCTATAGACATTTTGCCAACCCAAAACATAATGAACAAGCTTCAGTTATTTTGTACTAGTTTTATTCAGAGTTCCTAATCTAGTACAAAATAGACATCTGTGACTGGTATACATACATTATTATTTTTAGCGTGATAATTTAAATGTTACCAATAATATGTAGTTGTTTGGTAAATAATTCAATAAAATATTTGAGTACAACAAACAGAACATTTCATAACAATTTATTTGAATGTTATTTGCTGTACATATACTTAATAAGTTATAACAGTGCTTTAGTTGTTGTCTAAGAAATATTCATCACAGATTTAAAACAAAAACAATAAAAATTAGCAAACATTTCACTGGGCATTAAACGATGCAGAATTTTCATTAATCATCACACAGAATACGACCGGTATATTTTTTTTTAATCTCAAACATAGTAGAAGGGCAGGTAGATACTGTCAAATTATCAGTGAAAATTGTACTCAATATTTTTAACTCGGGCAGAGGATGACAAAGACGATCAAAGATTATTCCAGCCACAGATAGCCAAATACTGTAATGGTCGACGGTCCTACACACCTACACTTCGACAGCGGTCGTCGATGGATGTTTCCACCGTTTGTCAACTTTAAGAGATACAATTCAACTTACGTTCCGCAGCAAAACGTATGGGACACTGAACTCGGGATCATCTACAAGGGCATTGGCGGAGGTATCGACAAACAGGTACGTGACGTTAGTTTGTCACAAAACGTGTGTACGATTGTCGATTAGTGTTCCAATAATGTACGAGCGGACTGTGCGTAGAAAAGATTATGAAAATTGTCCAAATCTCAAGTTTGAAAATTGTAAACAATAATTAAGGAACATGATTGAAGCAATTATGTAATATTGATTTCCATCATGATAATTTAAGAGGTACCTACTATTATTCTATGATGATGGTAATTATTAATATTTATTATTAAAATTATTAATTTTACACACGACGTATTTTTCCAATGCAATAAACTGATAACTATTATTTTGATTGTTCGATCGAAGTTAATGTGATAACGATTGGATTTCCGACGATGTTGTTCTGGTACTGTCAAGCTTTTTAAATTAGCCAATCAACTATTAAGCCCACTGATGTTTTGAATGTTTTGATCTTCAACTCCGAGATCTTACTATCCTAAGTTGTATATCGGTGGTTTTTTAAAAGACCTAGGTCGTAACCAGAATGAGCATAATTCATCGGGAGGCGTTTGAAACATCGTAATTAGTATTTACTAAAATAATCGTTTTTGAATTAATTAGTATTTTTTTTTTTATTTTGTGATAACCGAAAAATCGATTATCTTATAGGAAGAAATTCAGTTGGAAATTATAATTTAAATCATCAAAAAATGTATTTGTATTTATAAGCTAAGGTTACTACACCATTTGACTACATAATAGTAATTATTATTATAGCCTATAGGTAATGATTTGTATTCGAATTTGGAACTACTAGTAGGTGGTTGGTACTGCATTAAGCATAAGAGTAATAATAATATTATTAAATATTGGTATTATTGTATACTAATACTTTGTATTATATATCATCTTTACAATTATTAATGTAGGTAGGTAAATTTTATTATAATGACTACAATTAAGCATTATCATACTATTTAGTTAGTGATAAAAAAATACAGACGACTAGATGAGTTCAAACAGTTCAAACAAAGCGTTTTGTTTTATTTTAAAACGTTTCAAAATGTGGCGTTATCAAAAATCTGGGCAAATATTGAAAAACTTTCTTTTGAATGTTTGATGGCAATAATGAATATGAATTATTTTCAATTTATCATCCTAAAATGCATTACATTTCAATGTTTCTATGTCGTTCACATGTTGAGTGATAACTGTATGATATTTAGAAAAAAAGTAAGGGAAACCAGCTCGAATAAATGGAAAAAAGATTGAGAAAATATTATTTAAATATATATAAATTATTAATCATTCATTTGCATTCATAAAGTTAACTCGTAAAAAATAATAAATAATTTTAGATAGGTATAACAAAAAGGAAAAAAACTTTCCTTTTTTCCTTTAAACCCTCATAAAAAAATACGATTTTCGATATTTTTAAATTGATATTTATATATGTACATGTTATGAACACAGAAACTTTTTTTATCGAGCTTTATGGGGAAAAAAATGAAAAATGTTTGGAAAATGGTCATATTATAGGCATTTGATGAAAATTTAAAGGATCTATATTATTCAAAAAGTAGAAATAGACAATAGTTATTTGTTTTGAGACACAACAAAAACACTATATCGTTTTCGTTAAAAACTGGTTTGCGTCATAATTCTCGTTTTTATTAAATTTTTATACCTACCTACCTTTATCGGAAAATTATTTTGAAAAATACTAGTAATTTTAATACATAGCCCTTAAAGTTACATATCTCAAGAACAACCTTTAAAATGTGCCTGATTTGTTTTAAAGATTGTTTTGCTTATGGTTAACTTTACGTTGGTGTTCATAAGATAGCTAAGTTCTTCTCAAGTTCTAGCAGTTAAGTAATTTTAGCTACTGAATAAAAGACATCAAAATATATACGTGTTAGTTTATAAGTCCTTAGTACAAATTAAATTAAAAAAATTGTGTCTAATGAAATTGAAGTGTTAAAAATTCAAATGCAGTCAATTAAAATTATTTTTATTAATAAGTTCTAATGAATAACAAATAAAAAATTGAACTAAGTTTGTATTATATAAAAAGGTTGACCCTTTTTTTTAAAGTCAATGAAGTGCACAGGGACAACTAGTAAAATATAATAAAATACATAACCTGGTACCAATTGATTATTTGATCAATTTAGAAAGACACCTTATTGGAATATTAAAGCACTTGAGTCACTTACCTTTAATTTTTTTAGATCAATATAGATTAATATTATTTGATGAGCCACATTGCAGTGATTATTAGATTCTAGGCAAAGAGTGTCACAAGATTTTTTTAAGGGGAGATAGTAATTGTACATTATATAGACTTGTTTAAGTTAGCTTTAATGTATAGGTACAATTTTTTTTTTAATGTTAAGTTGCTTTCATGTTAAAATATATCCTAAAAAGTTCCATACATTAACTAAGACGACAGCTTTAGATAGTATGGTTGCATAACAAAATGAGAAAAAGCGGGTCCTGGATGGTCTCCACCTAACACCCATGGTCATAGAGCTTTGGGGCGGATTCATGTTGTAATTAATAAATAACCAAATGGAAAAATAATATAGATATTATTAAGTATTAAAACTGTAAGGTTTTATAAACAAACTGATAGACGTCATTACAGAATCTTAGGTAAAGTAGACTAATTTCAGGAGAACATCTGTGATTTATAAACAACCTGTAGAATGTAATGAACCATACTACTTAAAGCCACAACTAGGATACAACCATTATTCTATATTATATTAACTAGTGAAACTGTGTAATGCTTACATTACCAAAAATATTTAGATATTGTATAGAGTAAAATGATAAACTATTCATATGTCTTATATTATACTATGATTATTTCATATAAAATTAAAAGAAAACAAGTAAAATTATTTGAAATTAAGTTGTTGGCTCTTGTTTATTATTTGGCTAACTTTATGATTATGTAGAAATTCTGTCCAAGGAATGCTAATAGATCTCATAGTCTCAACATATAAAAAAAAATTGGGTGTAACTTCATTTACTTGAATTCTCTTGTAATTATCCTTGTTCTGGGTTATAGCTGATAAAGCTTTGGTTTCATTTATTTTTATTTTTACGGGGTGACATGTTTTCAATGTGTTATTTTATTACTTATATAAGTTTAAGCCACACCATTTTCTAACACATCTGATTAGCCACGAGGGCTTTATCATTAACGGCCTCTCTACATCCCCCTCTTAAATCCACCTTTGTCTCAAGTAACTACTACACATATTTAAAATAACACTAGGCTAACAATTTTTTTTTGCGGTAACAAGGGAGTACTGAAGGTGACAAAACACTGTTCAAAATAATTATGATAAAAGTCAATGTTCAAACACATTTCTTTATGTTACTTGTTAATAAAAATGCATTTAACTATAACATAATGTTTATGTAATGCAATAATATTAAATATTTTTTAGTATAAAAATCTTAAACTTTTAAAATATAATTAATTTTTGGTTAGGAAATTATTAATTATTGTTTTACTTTTTAACAAACATAATTATCATTAATTTAAATACATTAATAAAATATAATAAGCAATAAGTCTTTTTTTGTCATGTACTAAAAGTATTTTAACTTTGGTTTAACTACGTAAAAATAAAAATACTAATTTTAATCGTCAATAGGACAAATCAGATCACCAATACTCAGTTCATTGTTATGTTTCTTCCTCTTTAATGAAAACTGTGATTTTTTCTGAATCTAAATCATAACAGATATATTTTATGTAGTCTTTTAATGGTTAAAATAAAATGTATAAATTATTGTCAAAACATGACATGATTTTTTCAAATCATTATTATATACATCACTTACTTTAGTCTTAGATGATATTGTTAGAGGTCTATACTTTGGTTTCAACTGATCATCTCTCTTTTTTTGATTTAAATCTCTTCCTATCAGTTGGCTGAACTGTATGCTTAAATGACGTCTCAACAATGTTTTGCTCTGTTGTATGAATAAAATATCAGCTAGAAGCTCAGACGTAAATCTGTCATCATATACTATTAGTCCACCGTGAACACCTAAATTATAACAAATTAATTCTTTTATAATAATGTACACAACATACTTAAGTATTTATAAAACAAATCAAGTTTTTAAATCAGAAACTCATATTGATGTAATTTGACATTTCAAAGACTAACCTAATTAAAATATACAAATCAATGTGTTTTAAACATACTGTTAGATTTAATGTTTAAGTAAAATTAATTATTACTTCATTAATAAAAGGAAACATAATGCATAAAATATTCACCAGAACCCCTTAAATTAGATGCGTATTCAGCCAAATTGACACTACAAAGCCATTCCATTACTCTATGTGTTGTCCATAGTGATAAATTACAATCATCATCATTTTTGTTAGTATTAGAACGACGGATCAAACATTCAGGATCAAAATTATTCTTTCTTAACACCTATACATAATATAATACATACAGTATTTATTAATTGTATATTATTGCAAGCATTAAATTAATATAAATTTACTTTAATCCCATATCGGAGACTAGAGAAATGTAAATCTGAGTTTGAAAATTGCAACATTAGAAAATCGTCTTTGGTCAGTCTATGTAAAAGTGTACCATTTATAGCTGCTTGAGAAAATGGTTCTTTATACTGAGGAAGACCTATGTCATCTAACCATTGTAGTACCCAAGACGTACTTAAATATCTTGCTCTGACCAGATATTTGTCTTCATCAAATAATTTATTCGGATCTTTTTCAAGTTGAATGGCTAAAATTAGTTTTTTTCTATGTAACCAATGCTAAAAATTTAACACAGTTGATCATTAGTTTTAGCAATATATAATATATTAGAATATGGTTACAAGTATAGGACAAGTACAAAGTTAATACGACAAATTCATTGTTCAGTAAATTCCTTAATAATATGATTAATTGATAAAAACAAATAGACAATTTTATTAGTATACTTACACTAATGACTAAGTAAAAGGTTACAACATATTATTCTTGTAAAAATGTAAAATATCATAATGCCTAAAGCATAGCAATACAGGTTATTCAAAATGATTCATCTGGCTTAAAATACTTATATATTTTTAGCCTTTAAGATGAACTATAAATGTGGATTATAAACATGAACTATATATACATGGAAACACGTTAAGGACCAACAAACTTTTTCAACTATTGAAAAGCACTATATTGATTCTGTTTTCATTATTCTGTGCTATACAAAATAATACATGTGTTCATTATTACTAAGAATTTTATTTTTATTGATATTATGATTCCACTAAAAATATATCTAATGAAATCAAAATAGTGCCCTTCAATAAAGGGGCACTATTCATAATACACAAATTATATACAATGGACGTTTTATATTTATTATAGTTCAGTATGCATGATACATGAAATAAAAAAAAAATTTTCAAATTTATTTAATGGTGGTACCTATAAATGTTCTATGTCAGTGGTGCGCAATGGAGGGTTGTATTACCAAAATAAATAATTTTGGGGGTCATTGCATACTACTATTCTATGTGGCTTCCTTTGAACAC